ACATGCAATATCTGGAGGCAGAATATATGTTAATCACATTCTGCAATCTAATATCTAATGTTGCCAAATTCTTTGACCCGTTGGAATGTATGTGGAGAAAAAAAGTTCACACCTCAATCACATTCAGGCTCCATCCCAACCTTATATTAATAACAGGTATCCTCTGTGTAGAAACGCAGGCTTTAGTCAAATACTAGTACCATATGGCGCCAAAGAATTTATGAAAAGAACGCATGTTCTCGCGGACTCCATGTCTGTGAAATGAATTTAATAAAACAGTTGATATTCAAAATCAATGGAACTCATTTCCCAGCTGTGTAATACCAACAATCAACTGCCAATAAAGCGAAATATCTTTCATTTGTTGCTTGTTGACGGGTTAATGATTTAATACAAGATGATGACAATTGCTGTACAGCCTTATATAGGACGATACATGTGAGAGAGATTTGACAAACCCTCATCTGAACAGCACAGGTACGTCCAGACTCTCGCTCTCTCTCTCTCTCTCTCTCTCTCTCTCTCTCTCTCTCTCTCTCTCTCCCAGTCTCTCTTTCTCAGTCTCTCTCTCTCTCTCACTCTCTTTCTTTCCAGATCTATGTGTATAATTGTAAATATTTCCCCTTCAGAGCAACACAGCAGACAAACATCATGCCACGTGACATGGAAAAAGCGAAGAGCGTCTATGTCCAGAGTTGTACTTCATGCCACAGTAAGTACAACAGGTTTTCACGAATACTGCGTGGGGTGTCATTTCAGGCAAACCGAATGTTACATATATTGCGTGGGGTGTCATTTAAGTCAAACATTATGTTACATATATTGCGTGGAGTGTCATTTATGTCAAACATATTGTTCATTAATTCAAACAGATTGTTACATATATGTCGTGGTGTGTCATTTAAGTCAAACATATTGTTACATATATTGCGTGGGGTGTCATTTCAATCAAACAAATTGTTAAATATATTGCGTGGTGTGTCATTTAAGTCAAACAGATTGTTAAATATATTGCGTAGTGTGTCATTTAAGTCAAACATATTGCTACTTATATGGCGTGGGGTGTCATTTAAGTAAAACAATTTGTTACATATATTACGTGGGGCGTCATTTCATTTAAACAGATTGTTACATATATTGCGTGGGGCGTCATTTCATTTAAACAGTTTGTTACATATATTGCGTGGGGTGTCATTTCATTTAAACAGTTTGTTACATATATTGCGTGGGGTGTTATTTCATTTAAACAAATTGTTACATATATGTCGTGGGGTGTCATTTCATTTGAACAGATTGTTACATATATTGTGTGGTGTGTCATTTCATTCAAATAGATTGTTGCATATATTGCGTGGGGTGTGATTTAAGTCAAACATATTGTAACATATATTGCGTGGAGTGTCATTTAAGTCAAACATATTGTAACATATATTGCGTGGAGTGTCATTTAAGTCAAACAGATTGTTACATATAGTGCGTTGGGCGTGATTTAAGTCAAACAGATTGTTACATATATTGCGTGGGGCGTGATTTAAGTCAAACAGATTGTTACATATATTGCGTGGGGCGTGATTTAAGTCAAACAGATTGTTACATATATTGAGTGGGGTGTGATTTAAGTCAAACATAATTGTAACATATATTGCGTGGAGTGTCATTTAAGTCAAACAGATTGTTACATATAGTGCGTTGGGCGTGATTTAAGTCAAACAAATTGTTACATATATTGTGTGGGGCGTGATTTAAGTCAAACAGATTGTTACATATATTGAGTGGGGTGTGATTTAAGTCAAACAGATTGTAACATATTGTGTGGAGTGTCATTTAAGTCAAACAGTGTTGTATCTTATCCTAACATATTTGTGAAACTCATCTCGGGTCACATATATATACACACAAGCAGCCTTGTCGCCCTAACCTTGTCATCATATGTTAATCACCGGGAGAATTAAGGGAGCAGTCGGGTTTAACAAGGTTTTTTCTGTTTATTGTATACTACCCAAAAAGACGTTAAGGAAAACCCGATTTATTCATATGACTGTAATTAACCTGTCATGTCACCACGGCAGTAAATGGCATCTTCCAAACTGAACGCTCTGCGTAAAGACATGTCTTGTCTGTCCATGTACGTAAAACACTGAAATTAAGATAAAACATAGTTTAATAAGATCCATTAAGGACGTTAGTTTATTATTGATTCTAATGACATGATGCGTGGTCCAGTCTCTGATTCCACTGTGTACTGATCAACTGTGATCATATTTCAGACGGATCTGCTATACAGGACATGATGAAGAACAACAAATTCCAAGCGACTTGCCCCGAGCAACTTCCCGGAGCCTCGTTTTTCCCATCGGGGCTTGCCTTCCAGTCGACTGGTTCAAGGGAGATAACTAAAGCTCAATGACCGCTTCAGTGACAGATGCACGCCATGTAGGGTCTTTCCTTGTGAAATAAGATAAAATAATACAAAATATACAATGTGTGTTTTGGGTCGTTTGTTTCTTGTGCAACATTTTTCATCAGGGTCCTTGGCTTTTTTAGCCTGGCTGTTCGAGTATATTCGAGCGATCTGGTTAAAAAATAATTGTCTGATATTCATTATTGAGGTATACATGTATCACGCTGATTTTAAGAGAGATCACATACGGCCGTGTGTTAAACCACTGGTTGTGTCCACGCGAGAGTTTTGGGTTGCCTTTTCCATAGCCTTCAATTTTGCACTTTCATTGTTTATTCATACAAATTATTTTGATTTCTCTTGATACTGAACATCTAAAGAGAGCATGAAAAGATGCGCTATGTGATCAGTGTGGGATCTGGCATTCAGCTGTAAGTGAGTGAGTGAGTGAGTATGGTTTTACGCCGCTTTTAGCAATATTCTAGTAATATCACGGCGGGGGACACCAGAAATGGGCCTCACACATTGTACCCATGCGGGGAATCGAACCCGGGTATCCGACGAGCGAACGCTCTAACCACTTTGCTAAACCACCACTCATTCAGCTGTAAGTTTTGGGTTGATTTAATGTCATGACATGGCGAAATGGCATCCCACACAGAGAACTAATGTTTTTCGGAACTAGTACCTGAACAGGACATTCATTTCTCTGAGACGAGGAATCAAATAAATATGGATGGATCTACAACGTATGCTTCAGTGAAGACTTTCTTGTGTGCAACCTGAAGCCAAGTTATTGCATTCCAGTATTGAAAAGAACAAAAGAGTGGCTGGTAGGTCTGCCTGGAGATGTGGTGTGCAATGGGGTTTAGCGTTGCGTCCATGATTATTGCACTAATATAGCGACGTGCATGCACGTGTGTGAGTGAGTGAGTGAGTGCGTGAGTGCGTGAGTGCGTGCGTGCGTGCGTGCGTGCGTGCGTGCGTGCGTGCGTGCGTGCGTGAGTGCGTGAGTGTGTGTGTGTGTGTGTGTGTGTGTGTGTGTGTGTGTGTGTGTGTGTGTGTGTGTGTGTGTGTGTTGACCTTGTCCGGGCTAATGCCGATTGTATAGTGCTAGACCATTGAGATACCACGCAGTTTAACATGAATACCCCACTAAGACACAATATATTCACTACGAACCGACCAGTCTTTATTTCAACCCCTTAATGCCGAGCGCCAGGCAGGGTAACAATAAGTACCATATATGAACGTCTTCTGGTTTGGCGCGAACGAGGATGGACCCCCCCGGACAGACGCTCTATCCACTACACCATGGAGGCGGTCTCTGCCAGGGGACCGGCAGGTTATGCTTACTCTGCCATACAGACCCTGAAACGAATATATCCAATACAGTGAGTGAGTGAGTTGGGTTTAACGCCGCTTTTAACAGTATTCCAGTTATATCACGGCGTGTCAGCTTAATGTGGGAGGAAAGCCCGAAGTGATGCAGGTCTCAGACGTTGACCACTTCGGTGAAACCCACGAGCACGGGTATGGTGCTGACAAACCTAGAAACATAATCGGGGCGGACCGGGATTCGAACCCACAATCATAGGTTTCTGGCGTGCCCAAGGGACGCGACTCTGCACAGCGAATCGCGGCGCCTTAGACGACTGGGCCACCCGTGCCCCCATATCCAATACAGCTCATGTAAGTCTATAATAGTGGGAAAGTCTAGCTTACTGCACTTTCGGGCTGACAACGAATCTCTGGGCTCCTTTCTACTATATTAAATTAATATAATTCAACAACTTTTTTTATTGTTTCCAGAGGCTAAGTGTCTCTACGTTAAACCAAAAGATGGTACTTGTTGTTAACCTGCCTGACTCTCTGTTTGGTGCTCTGCAATAAAGGGATAAAACAGGGACTGGTCGGCCGGTTAAACTATTAAGCTGTTAAACTACGGCATTGCATCTCTGTGAGCTGAACGTGCAGTGGTCCGGGCCAGTACGTACACACAGTACGCACGCACACGCACACACACACACACACACACACACACACACACACACACACACACACACACACACACACACACACACACACACACACCAGTGCCGTAGACAGCCGGGGGCTAATGAATCTATGAAATGTTAGGTGATGTGAAATGGGGTTCAGCGTCGCATTTAAGATTATTGCACTTACATAGCGACGACATGAATAGCCCACAAAAATCAAGGCAACTCATTTCCCAGATGCACAATGCCATCGTATGATCGATGATGTCAATCACTGGGTTGTCTGGTGCTAACTCGATCATTTACAGACTGCCGTTATGCGGCTGGAATAGTGCTGAGTGCGGGGTTAAACAACAAACAAACAAACAAACAAACAAATCTCTATAGGACCAGATTGGGCAGTTGAATATTTACCAGACCTGGCCAGACTTGACTCACCAATCGGCTCGGACATCTGATTGCTTACTGTTTTCGAATATATTAACATATATTACTGTATATTATACTAAATATTATTGCCGACGATCTTTGCTACACACCACTGCACTGGCACCCGTCACCCGGCCTCGTAAGAGTTGAGAATAGTCGTATACGACTTTGTGTCGTATAACGAAACGCTGCAGGCGTTGTCAACCGGCGAGACGAATTGATGAAACTGCTTTCCAAAGAACAATCGCTCTCAGTTCTCACAACCCGAGCGTCGCTGACCACTGGCCATTACTAATTCCTCCCTACAACTGACCAGTCTTCCGACATCTTTAACGTAAGCCATCTATATGACGCAGGCCCCTGTGTTCTCCACACAGGCCTTGAGACATCGGGTGAAAGCCGTCCTAAAGATTCACGGGAGGGTAATGGAAGGTCGACAGGTCAAGCATGTCATCACACCCCTATAAACCAGTAGGACCGGTGTGTGCATTCATCATTCCCCGACTGAAGTACGTACACATCTACAGGTATTGAACAGTTTCTGCTTTTCGACACCCAGGTAAGATATCGCTGATAATACTTTACGTTAGTTGGACCACGGACGTATATACATACGTCTTTGGCTGGACTGAAAGAATGTCAGACCCGTTGATATAGGTTGAAAATGTAAACACAAGGGAGGTAGAACTATCCGCCGGCCAATCTCCCAAGGATTCCCGACCCCCCGAGTGTTTACATTTTCTACCAAAATCGAGGAGAAATGTTTGATCCATCATAGAAACCGCTGAAATGCAAAAAATACCCGGAAAAATCGGGATACCTTATAGTGAAACAATAGAGCAGTCGCGGTATAAAACGAATTCGAAGAAAGCATGCAACTGACTAAGAAGTGAAAGTCAGTCACGCCTTTCATCACAAACCTCGAGTGTTTAGATTTTTAACCAGATCCGTTTGAAAGTGTTTTATCTGCCTCACACACCGAAATAAAAATCTGAAACAACATTTATCAACAATTTCAAGTTTAATAAAAATTATACTTTCCGTGAACCTTAGGAAATTTAAATATATATCTCACGCTATACTCGAAAAGAGATTCTTAAAAGTATTGTGGTCTACCAGGGCCACTGTTCCCTAGGGGGCACGGGTGCCCCAGTCGTCCGAGGCGCCGCGATTCGCTGTGCAGAGTTGCGTCCCTAGCTGTTCCCCAGAGGGCACGGGTGGCCCAGTCGTCTGAGGCGCCGCGATTCGCTGTGCAGAGTTGCGTCCCTTGGGCACGCCAGAAACCTATGATTGTGGGTTCGACTCCGGTTCGGCCCGATTATGTTTCTAGGTTTGTCACCACCATACCCATGCTCGTGGGTTTCACCGAAGTGGTAAACGTCTGAGACCTGAATCACTTCGGGCTTTCCTCCCGCATTAAGCTGACACGCCGCGATATAACTGGAATACTGTTAAAAGCGGCGTTAAACCTAACTCACTCACTCACTCACTGTTCCCTAATGGTTCTCGCACGAGGCTATACATGTATACGAAGGTTTCAGGTAGGTTTTACATTAGAATTGTTTTGTGTGTTATATACATTGTGTTCGAATGCAAAATACAAATCTGAGACAGAAGGACTTTCTACTAAGAGGTTATTCTACGAAAACACGGACCCGTTAAAACAATAGATAGACGTCAGAAGACGTCATAAGACGTCATTTTTCGTAGTTAACTCAAATGACAAAACGATGACGTCAGTGGAGGTTTATTACCTGCGTTAGAACACAGCACAGTACAAGTGTGAAACTGGGATTTTTTATGAGGAATATGTTTTCTTTCACACCTTTAAATATTAAATCATGGCCTTTCTATTATCATGAATAAATTGAAAGGTATATATACATATATATATATATATGGTGTCGGACCCGTGAAGATCTGCAGTAGAATCGGTCTTCAGCAACCCATGCTTGCCGTAAAAGGCGACTATGCTTGTCGTAAGAGGCGACTAATGGGATCGGCCGGTCAGGCTCGTTGACTTGGTTGATGCATGTCATTGTATCCCAATTGCATGAATCGATGTTCATGATATCAATCACTGGATTGTCTGGTCCAGACTCGATTTTGTACAGACCGCCGTCGTATAGCTGGAATACTGCTGAGTGCGGCGTCACACAACAGACAAACAAACATATACGGTGTCCAAAATGTCCTCCTGTTTCATTCACAGGCATCATATACAGACAACATCATGTCACGCGAGATGGAGAAGGCGAAAGCCATCTATGTCAAAAGTTGTGAGGCATGCCACGGTAAGTCTTCCAGCAGTCATAATCCGTGAAGATCCGCGTTGAACAGGTCTTCAGCAACCCATGCTTACCATAAAAGGCGACTCTGCTTGTCGTAAGATGCGACTAACGGGATCGGGTGGTCAGGCTCGTTGACTTGGTTGACAATGCATGTCATCGTATCCCAATTGCGTGGATCGATGCTCATGGTGTCAATCACTGGATTGTCTGGTCCAGATTCGATTATTTACAGACCGTCGTCATATAGAGTGTGGCGTTAAACAACAAACAAACAAACAGTTTGTATATATTGTTATTGTGGTAAAATTGGTCATTTTTTCCTCAATATTAATATAAAATTTATCTGTGATAAAAGTCTTTATTGTGTTATATTAAGTTAAACGTAAAGTGCTGTATTCAGTCTCACATGTGAAGGTCACAGCTATCTAGAAAATTGTATATCTTCCTTGGAGCATGGTCAGTTTTATCTATCTGTACGTGTCTCAACCTCTATCGCAAGGATGGCTTGGCACACGTGTGCTGATACGTCCAACTCATATCAATATTGTCGGACTACTCATCAATTATTTTTCAACTTATGTCAAACTACTTGGTCAAACGTCTTAAGAAAGCAAAGTCTTAATCCCTATTCTCGGCGCACGAACTCAAATTTTCTTATCAAGCAGATAATTGAACATGCAGTAAATCCGTGACCATTCAAGGTGTCTAGCGAAAGTATACTGGCTTGCCCCGGGGGTAGGAATCCCCAATAAAGGAGCTGGCCATAGACACTTTTGTTGGTTTCTTTGAAGGTGGTGCCCGATCCCGAGCTAATTCCCCAAGGCAAATTCTAGATATCGTGACAGTTTGAATACGAACCATCATAACATTAATAACCAAAGTCTTGAGGGAAAAAGTACAGCAAACCAGCTTTAGTGGCAGAAAAATATGTGATGCCATTTGACGTCATGCAGACCGGTGAGGCCCCTATGGTTTTGGAAAGCATTGTTGTGCAATTTCATTGTGGTGATATCTTCTAGGGGATATCGCTTATTTTTACCCAAGGGATATCTTCTGTGGGAGCCAGTTTGGGGTTCAATAAAATACATTACTTCTGGGTAAGTAAATGGTTATAGCACTTTAGACTCTCCTCAGTCCTACGGGTTACCTTGACCAGCGTTGAGAAGAATCAATATTTGGACACAAGCCTTTGATAGTCGTGACCCTTTCATAAATGTTGCCCGATGTCAAATTGTGTAACAAGTTGTGCTAACAATCAGAAATAGCCCACAACGCCTATTTCCGTAACCATTCGGCTTGTCCCGGAATAACACGAGTTAGGGGACAAGAGATTTGCCCGCCGTTTTTTCTTGTGTAATGTCACGTGAAATAGTGAAACTAGTGACTCCAGTTCCAGCACGGATTCGTCCCAGTACTGGCCGAGGGACCTATGTGACTGAACGCGAAGAACGAGACCAGCGAATCCAAAACACGATGAATACCATGGCGTGTGCAAAACGTTGAAATTCGGGGTTAAACACGGAATTTGAGGAGAAGTTCTTGAAACTTAAATTCAAGTATTCGGGTGGGAGCACCTTCAAGGGGAAGAATAAATGGGCCCAATACATTTATATTATAGTGTAGCGGCCATAAAATTTCCGAGTCCCGTGATTGTATTCGAACCACGAACCTCCTGATCCGAGGTCGGACGACTTGTCCACATGACCAAAGAGGTTAACCCCGTCAGCAAGCTGATAAGGTAAGGATGTCATCTGTAGGATGACTTCACGCCCTGCTACAATAGCATGTTATGTCCATGTTAAACGTGATTAACTCGTTCTGGTTTTGAATTTCAGTGAGTTACGCCTCGGACACCACGGAGAAGACAAAAGTAGGACAGACATGCCCCCAACAGATTCCAGCCGTGTCCCCTCTTCTCTCCGAAACTTCCTTTCCCTCAAGGGAGATAACCTTGACAAAATTTATTGATATTATCAACTGAAACTGTATTTGTATTCGATGAAGTATGAATAAACACAATTCTTTTGTCTCCCTTGTTGTTCTTACCTGTTTACCATTTGATAAAAAAGATGTACCATCCACTACAAAGGCGGAAACAGGTGTCGATCTCCTTAAAATCTTTAGGGCGGTCGAGTAGCCTAGTGGTTAAAACGTTCGCTCATTCAGGCCGAAGACCCGTTTTCGATTCCCGACATGGGTACAATGTGTGAAGCCCATTTCTGGTATCCCCGCCGTGATATTGCTGGAATATTGCTAAAAACGCCGTAAAACATACTCGCTCACTCACTCACTTAAAATCCTTAACTCCGATACGATCGTGAAGATTTGACAAACCATCCATATCAGCCAATCGGTCTCAGCTTTATTAAACGGTTCGCCTTAATATTTTCTTTAACAAAGGAAATTCCACAAATATTACAGACATTCCTTCCAATGAACTTCATTTTAGATATGGATGACACAGTGCTCAGAAACGACAGTGTGCAAAGACAACCACAATCATATAATAGCATTGTACTTTTCATTTACATTCGGAACCGTGCAACTCCGCTCAACAGATATCAGATATGTCAATATGCTTCGCTCACTTGTTCCGAGTTGAGGAGATATCAGAGTTACACGCAGAGATGCACCGTATCGGAGTAATGGACCTGATATTAAGTGAACCACCTCTTATAACGTGTGGTTCATGGTATTTGAAACTCATGCCGTCAGTCAAAGTAAAACATCTCTTTCCCTATTTCGATTAAGTTGTCATGATCTAGAAACTGAATGTGGGCGACATGCATATATTTCGCGAAATATAAGTAAATGTACGTATGCAAATTAAACTGCTGAAACGGAATACCACTTCCTATTTATATTAAAAGTTAACCAAGTTTTACCTCCATCCAAACAATATCAACTTCAACCTCCTTTTATCATCGCAAGATCCTAACACTGTAGTTAATTCAGCAAAATACATTAATAATGCTCATGTTGAAAGAAACGTATTATCCAATGTTTAACGGCCTGTGTGTATTACTATATTATGTACATAAAGGCCTGTGGCCTATACCCATTGAATAAAACAAATTGAATTGATTATTAATGAATGGCAATGTGATGCTGCTTCTACGTAAATGGGACACTGTCGCGTTGACTGAATTATTGTAATACAATCTGCGAGAAAAGGACGTAATAAACTCAGAATTTACAGAAAATATAAAGATGACTTAAAAATTAACCCATATCTTCAACAGTGCGCAGAAGTAAAAACCGACATGTCTACAAAAATGATACATGTATATAACCACCTGTTAATTTGATTGCAATGCTCGTAACATTTTCAATTTTCACATGCGTTATTCCGTTTTGTGAATATATCCTACAACCACCATCTTTCTGCGTTGACCACGTGGTCTAATGAAGAGTGACATACACTGGCGTTCTATAGTGTCCAGCAATGTGATATGAGTGATAAGGCCGGGGTATCAAATTACCTGATTTTGATGGTATCTCTACATTTGGCTTAGGAGTACTTACGCATATTCACATCTTACGTTGAACGCCCCTGTGAACAGTATTTCAGTAATATCGCGGCGTGTCGGCTTGATGATGAAGAAAAGACCAGTACGATGCGGGGCGGAGACGTTTATGAAACCCATCAGCATGTGGTGGGGCTGACTACCTGCTTACCGAATCCTCCGCCACTTGTCGCTTCTCTCTCTCCAAGAACCCAGTCTATCACAGGAACAAACAGTAACAAGGCTCCCAAATCAAGCATCATAATCGAGGCCAATTTGAGATTAGAAGCTCCAATCATTCCCAGAACAGCTACAAGACGTATCTCTGCAATAGTACTAGGTCATACGATTTAGAAGAAGAAAATCTAATTTGATGTCATTGGATGATATTTACTGTTCTATGTATTTTGTGGAATGCTGATAAATGTATGAATAAAAATTGACCACATTATTCAAGCAGACGAGGAGTGCAGCGTCGAAATGCAACAGTCTCGAAAAGTCACATTTTCCACACGTCCAAATTACAAAGAAATTTCCAAATCGAATTGAAAAATCTTGGACACGTCTAACAATTAAAGTTCCAGTTTCATTTATTAATTTGGTGACAAATTTACATTGAAAGGTTATATTTCGCGAAGAGAAATATACTAACGTCGGTTTCATGGTACATGCCGACTGACATACTATACCCCACCCTCCCGGGTGGCGCCCCCCCCCAGACAGGAGATGTGAATGTGTGTGGAATACACGTGACGCATTTACGATTATGTTTCAACATGCTGTTCATTTATTATTGAGACTAACTACCTCCAAGTGCTCCCACGTGACCTTAAAGTAACCCCAATGGTTAGGAAGAACCTCATTAAAGTCCTTGACCTTGGATTCAATGACAGGTCATACCGATTATTCAGATTACAGTAATGGACAGACGCCATAATACTATATTCTCCAGGCTAAGCACTTTATAATAATTTATTGATGATTGACAAGTGGATGTGATTGCAGGTGTAATTAATACAATGCAGTCTGGCATTGGCGACAGCCTTCGACAGCAGCTGACCACAGGTGATTTATACATAACAAATTCGGTATGTAATATTTTTTCTTTTATTTTGCAATGAATTGTCAATTGTTAAATACGCATTTGGTAAGTAAAATCGTAAACCGTAGTATCATAGACAATGTGTTTTACTTCTGCAACAAAAGGAGAACACGAAGAACAGTTGGATGTCACAAGACAGGTGATGACGTTAATGTTTCTTCGGGTATGGGATGGGTGAGTGAGTGAGTGAGTGATTTGGGTTTAACGCCGCTTTTAACACTATTCCAGTTATATCACGGCGGGTCTCCTTAATGTGTGAGGAAAGCCCGAAGTGATGCAGGTCTCAGACGTGTACAACTTTGGTGAAACCCATGAGCATGGGTATGGTGCTGACAAACCTAGAAACATAATCCGGGCGAACCGGGATTCGAATCCATCATCATAGATTTCTGGCGCACCCAAGGGACGCAAATCTGTACAGCGAATTGCCGCGCCTTAGACGACTGGGCCACCCGTGCCCCTGGGTATGAACAGAGTGTGGTATCGTACAAATGCTATACTTTATATATGCTGTTTCTGTCCATCATATGAAATGTATCCTATTGAAATGAATGATTTAGGTTTTAACTCCCCGCTCTAAACTGTAAATCAATGATGGTCCTTGTTTCTTTTGACAATTAAACTTTCATTATTAATCACAAAGAGACGGAAAGGTCGAACGCTCATAATCTCTCTGGTATTGCAGCTTTCCAACTCTTGTTTTGAAAGGTGGAGGCACAAATGTTCAGCTTTTAAATCTAATTTTGGAAGATGAAAACCCAAAACCTCAATATTGGCAACATCGATCTGTGTTTTACGTCATTTTAAAAAATGACAGGTGGTAAGTGTCAGTGTCAAAGAGTGTCTATAAGATTGTTCCTTTGTGCTAATTTTCCCTGTGGGATTTCCTCCCATGGAACAGTTTTTACTAGGAAAATCTTCGCGATATATTTACTCTGGCAATATTTGTTCCGGATAGAACTAATTCCGTGTGGAACTGATCGCCGTTGACATTAGCGCCACTCTTTTGAAAACCCCTTTTGACATGAACCAAACATCAGTGTATTTGTACCTGTCATCAGTCATGACCTGTGTGGTATCCCGGTCTGATGTGTCATCTCTGTCTGATGTCTGATCTCTCAAGGTGACACCGATAGAAAATAATCCCCCAAATTATCCTGCTGCTTGATTCAGCATACCCATACATCATGAGCATCGATCCATGCAATTGGGATCGATGACATGCATCAACCAAGTCAACGAGTCTGACAACCCGATCCCGTTAGTCGCATCTTACGGCAAGCATAGTCGCCTTTTATGGTAAGCATGGGTTGCTGAAGACCTGTTCTACCCCGGATATTCACGGGTACCCAAGTGACCCAGTATGTCCTTGTTAAACGTTGGTCGTGGAGAATTCCTTAATGGGTGATCGTGTTCGGCGGCTCAGCTCCTGGGAGTTTTTAGAGCTTCCGTCTAGCCCCACACTAGTACATGTGTACTGAAGTCCATGTGGCACATGTGCTGTCTCCTTTAGTACGTGACTTTGTTCGAAATATGCCCCACTTCACCCAGCAGGGAATGGGTACCCAGTAGGATGGTAATGTGACGGTTACTCGGGAGCCTTCTAGCGCTTCACAGTGAGTGAGTGAGTTAAAATTTAACGACGCATAGGTATTATTTCAGCCATATAGCGACGAGACCAAGTTGATATATGCACAATTTATTCATGTATACAAAGGTGTATTCAAAAACACTAGCGCTTAACAGACAGCTTGGGTTGTATAATCCCCAGGGAGATGAGAATAAAATCGAGTGCACACTGAAACATTGACTGGGGTAATATAAAAGTATCGCTTTGAGTATATATTTCATGTGGAGAAAACTATTGTTATAATTATTATTGTTGTTATTATTATTCACGTTGTTGATATTGGAACATTCTTTCCTTTCAGGAATGATGTCCAGGAATCTCTTCCAGAGTCACCGGAAGCGGAAACGAGTTCGCTCCCTTACATGGGCTATAATGTCCATGTTAATATTTGTATCCGTCAGAATCAATGACACTAATGGTTTGAATAACACATTTACAGACAGTGGCGAACCTGGAGCAACAACATTGAACGAATCTGGTGTCAAGAACGAATCGTTAGCGGGAGGAATACACAACACAGCCATGTCATTCGATGAAGATGATTTTGATTTTAAGAAAGAAAATTATACAGACGTCTTTGATACGAATGCCACTTCAGCAACATTCAGGACAGATAGCGCTTCCCAAGGGGAAAGAGAAGATGGTGAAATTATCTCTACTACCATAAGAACGATAAGAAATCGTATAGGCGCCAACGATAATGCTTCACAAAGTGTTGGACAACTCCAGTCAACGTCCTTCAAAGATGAAGCATATAACACTTCAGCATCTCCCTTGCTAACTACGGTAAACAGTTCCTTCGATGCTGATCTCGGCGTCACCTATACCACGGAATCATCAGAAGCCAGTCTTATTACACCGACCGCTGGAAAGGCTGTGAAGGACATTTGGTATATATGTCACGGGATTCTGGGAACAGTCGTTGAAGTTGTTGGAGTTGCTGGGAACATCGTGTCCATTGCTGTCCTCGTCCATCCAGACATGCGCAGCTCCACGGGAATCATGCTGACGTCATTGGCCGTGTATGACATGATCGTGCTTACGTCATATCTGTTCCTGTTGTCGATGGACCAGATATTCCAGCACACGCACATCTACGCCAACTTTCTCACCCACCTCCACCGACCATCTTACCCGGTTTGGTACGCCATGTCAAGTGTCGCGTTCATGGGCTCCAGCTATACCACTGTCGCCATCTCCATTGAGAGACTCATCGTGGTAACTGTTCCCCTTAAGGCGTCCGCCTGGTGCACCGAATCCCGTGCCAAAGTTGCTGTCATTCTCATCTTCATCTTCTGCGCTCTGTACAACATCCCCAGGTACATGGTCTTCAGTATCGAGAGTACTGCGGACGAAACGACTCGGAAGCATCAGATCACGTTGGAAAGGACTTGGTTCTCCAAGACATACTTCTTCAAGACGATTTACTCTGTTACAATGAACATTATCATGAAAGTGTTCCTACCTCTCATCGTCCTATCAGTGTGCAGCTGTCTTATGGTAAGGGCTGTGAGAAGGAACGGAAGGGCGCGGAGAACCCTGCAGGTTGAAGCATCGCGTTCAAACCATACCAAGTTTTCGGCCATGGTGGTGGCGGTAATGGTGTTCTCGCTGTTGTCCCTTCTGACTGGTTCTGCGGAGGTGATTCTCCTTCGTATCAATGATCGACAGTTCCAGAATGCCGGTGACTGTGAGATCGTGTGTGCGGCTGTGAGCGCTGTGTCCGAGCTTATGGCCATTTTGAACTCTGGGGTTAACTTTTTGCTCTTTTGTGTCTTTGGAACAAAATTCAGAGAGGTTTTTAGACGAAGATTTTGTAAGAGATGGGGGGTTATTCCGACGAATAGCAGCTCGCAAACCTTTTCGCTGTCTTGATCGAATATGGACAGCCCGGTTCCAGTTCGATTACAGTTGAGAACGTCAATATGTAATTGAAGCGACGTAATAACAGATCATTGTAATCAGATATTTTACTGCTAGGCGATAACTCTATGTGCTAACCCAAGGCCTGCCCTGCGTGGATCTTAATAAGCTGGTCTTCACGCATAGAGGTACGTGAATCGCATCGGAGAAAAGGATCAGGGCCCCATTCCACAAAGCGATCGAAGTGCAACGACAGTCGCAAGCTATGATAAAGTGTGGGACCTACGATAAATCTCAGCGCTACGATAGCGTTGTGGAACGGACCCCTGATCTTAATGATACTGCACATGATTCGCTAACCCTGAATGTTGTTAAACCGGACATTTCACAATCAAACTTCCGTTTGGGTTAACGGGGTTTAAGTGTCAACTATATACTACTCAAAAGAAGTTAACCTGATTGTTTCATATGACACAATTTAATCTGTCATGACCATGACCAATAGTGAGTGAGTGAGTGAGTGAGTATGGTTTTACGCCGCTTTTAGCAATATTCCAGCAATATCACGGCGGGGGACACCAGAAATGGGCTTCACACATTGTACCCATGTCGGGAATCGAACCCGGGTTTTCGGCGTGACGAGCGAACGCCTTAACCACCAGGCTACCCGACCGCCCCCCATGACCAATAAACTATGGCCGCATAAAAAAGCAGGTCTCTTTAACTTTTGAGTAGTATATATAGAACGTCGTTTATCTTTCTTACGGAGGCCTTTTAGGGCCATTTGTTTTCTTATTTTGTTTCGACACTATCTTGAAATTTTAAGATTATAAGTTGAAATATCAAGATACTAAGTTGAAATTTCAAGTTATCATCTTGAAATTTCAAGATCATTTTCTTGAAATTTCAAGTTAGTATGTATCTTGAAATTTCAACTTAGTATCTTTAAATTTCAACAAAACATCTTGAAATTTCAACTTAGTATCTTGAGATTTCAAGAAAAAAAAAGCAAACAAATGGCCCCAAAAGGCTTCCGTACTTTCTCGCATGTGATACTATTTAAACTACGTAAAGTCATTTAGTAATTTGTGGTATTATGATATGGACCGATTGCCTTTATTGAATAAACTCTGTAATAACAATTGCAAAACATATCAGTATTGTCTTTCAGTGTAACCTCACACTTTGGGATCATGCACTTTGTACACAGTAAATCATTTGTGTTTACGGCACTAATCACAAAACATGCATCTTTCTTGCTGCTGGTGGAGGAGATTTTGATATTACTTCCGGTAATATATGATTACTTCCGGTAGGGCTGCTTTCGCTCTAGGACAATTAAGCGACTTGTCTACAACGCAACTATTTAACCTATCCCCACCTGTCAATCTTACACCATGATAGACCATTCACAAAGTCCGAAGTTACACAGAATACGCTTTTGGTTTCTGACTGTCAAAAACATATGAGCAATCAAAGACACAGTCGAGTCATGATCCTACGGAAGATCCTGGTTAGAATAGGTTTTCAGCAACCCTTATGATTGTCCAAAGAGGCGACTGTGCAAATCGTAGGAGGCGACTAACGGGTTGTTAGGCTCGAAGACTTGGCTGATGCATGTCATCGATCTCAGTTGCGTGGATCGATGCTCATAACATCCATCACTGGATTAATTTTCTGGTCCAGACTCAATTATTTACAGACCGTCGTCATATACCTGGGATATTGCTGAGAGATGCGTTAAACAACAAACAAACAAACAAACAAACAAACAAACAAACAAAACAAACATGATCCTGTGGTGACAGGTTCGCCTTGATCATGACTCCTGCTTTGTCAGCGCCATACCCATGCTGTGGGTTCAACTAAGTGGGTTGTCCTTCCACATTGCAAGTTGAATAAGACGGCAAATGACAATCGTAGCAAGTTCCTACAAATAACCTTTGAACGTCCGATAACTAAAATGTCATTAAATGTACCGATCAAGCAGTTAATGCATGACTACCCTAATAACATAATAACAGAAACTGTTTGGAATTTCACACACGGCATTCTTTACAACCTACATTCTGTATACAAGACTGACAGTCATCAATTACTAGACCGTGATCTACCTTATACAATGTTCAAAGCGCCGTAAAACAAAACTACCTCCCTGTATTGAGGGTTATGTTACATTTCGTAGGATGTTTCGTGTACGGACTTATGATATTAAAACTAACGTCCACATTTTTTAAATTTATATTCCTATCCAAAAATCCAGATCCACCCTAAAAAGGTCCCAAAATATTAAAAGACCATTCCCTAAACACTGCTATTTCGAAGTCCCCCAAACCCCGTTCCTTTTCTTCATATCTTTTATGAATACATGTTATGAACTTTACTCTAGATTTGGCCAAAAAGTACATTTGTTCAAATCTTGTGAAACGTGGTATGCAAGTGACCGAACGTAGAGTTATTTCCCTTGTAACACTCACAGTCAAGCTCCTTCCCAGCGCGTGACACCTTCGTTACACTCTCGGTAGCCCCGCGAACGGGATATCGCTGTGAGGAGCTTGGTTCACGATTGTTTACAAATGGCAGCGTACCTACGACGGTGTGGAAAGAGCATAGTTGGTTGAATTCAGTGTGTAAAGTTTAGACTCAGTACTTAACAATAATGCCTGTTTCGGGAGGCAGGGGTGGAAAGCCACCAGGGAATTCAAGACAGAAAAAAGAAGAGGTCGCAGAGAAGGTAACAAAATGAACTACACGCACCTGTCAGTGTAACACTGTAGTTTCAACTTTCATATAGTCTAGTTAGATGTACTATAATGAGAAAGTCGGCTGTTGAAAAATACTTCTAAATTTTTTGCAGATAATCCTGATAAAAGGGATTTATTTTGAAACAATTATTTTGAAATAATTATCAATATTCTTCATGTCTTTGAATGGCATTTAGAAATGATACACATTAGAGAGAGAATTTATGGATGTCAACTTAATTCTTTATTATGAGGAACACAACGTTTTTAGCATGGAAACACCTTCATTCACCTGATGAAACATGTTCCTCATAATGATTAAAGAAGTTGACATCCATACATTCTGACTCTTATGAATGTTCATATTAACTTGTGTCCATTTAGTCTTTTAAATTCTTGCACAAAATGTCAAAATGTCATGATACAGAATCATAATCCACAGTAGTTGTTATGAAACTTAAACGTCTTTCTGGATACAATTGCAAATTAGGGCTGGGACGAGTCCAAATTTATTACCCGGGTACCCAACCCCCTATGGAATGTTCAGATTTTAGTTTTTTTTAAGACCTCAAGAAATGTCATTATTAGACAGTTTGACCAGAAATGCAATCATGTACCTCATAGAGTTAGCTGGAGGCAAAGCACTTTAATCTGGTCCTACTTATACTAACTGTCCATGGCTGTCTCTGACCGCCTGGTCATAATTACGATGTCACAAACCGGAAAGCAGTTTGAACTGTAAATAAGCAAGATTATCCTTTTAGAAACATACTTATGTCACATAATAATTCGCAAAACGAGTCAGGGTATCATATCTTGACCAGATGGTTGTAATGGAACCTCGATGGACCTGGGTAATTGAAGTGCAAACCCGAACAGACCCGGATGGCTCTGGACAGTAATTAGTACGACCCCATTAATCTGTTTTGAGGTTGTAGTTATGGTATTGTACTCTAAAGGAATGGTAGTACCGGGTATGTTATCATTTGTGAGACCTTCTGGACATGGTGAAGGGCCTGCTTCTGTTTTTACAAGTACTTGCAATAGGACGACTTAATAGCTTCTTGTGTATAATGATTGTGTAGATTCAACTTTTTAGGTTATAATTTTGTGTGTGTTCCATTGAGACATTTTTCTTGTTGTAAAAATATGACCTTTGTTTAGTCTATAAACAAATACTTTGGAATTTAATTGTTCTGCTATCTCTTTGTTCTTTTGGGTTTCGCCAAAAGGGTAAACAGTTCTCAAAGTTTAAATTTTTACCAAGTAGCCAGTTGTAAAGTCAAGCCAATATTGTAGGTAGCCAAAAGCATTTGAAATTATCTTTTATCAAATAACTATAATAATATGTACAAGTCATAACACTTGTCTGGGAATTGTAAATTATTTGAAACTGTACTTGATTTTTGTCATTTGTGACTCGAACAATGATGCAATTTATGTTACTAGATTATATAGGTATATCCTTGCTTATATAATAATCTATCAACTAAAATAAAATACTAATTACATTACTATTTATGTATTTCGGTTCATTGTTGACTTTAGGAGGAATTACCTGCCAGTACAATTAGTAGCAGGCATGTTTATTTTTGTGTCTACAGATGTGTAGCAATAGAATTTAGTCGCCACAAGATATTTTTCAAGGTAGTCATTTGGCTACCTCTGATTTTTAGACAGTAGACAAATTGAAATTTAGTCGCATTGGCGATCGTTTTAGTCACAACTTTGAGGCCTGGTAAATGTCTGAGACCTGCATTACTTCAGGCGTTCCTCCCAAAATAAGCTTACATGTCGTGATACAACTGGTATACTGTTCAAAGCGACGTTAAACCCCACCCACTCACTCACTCATGCTGACTCACTCATGAATGACAAAGTCTCATGACTGTTATTATTGTGTTACCATGGATATTGTCTTCTTTGAGGTCCGTGAAATGAAACTCCGACAACAGAACTGGATGAAGCAGAGAGATGAACATCTGACCAAGGATGAAACCGTCGCTACAAAGACAAAGGGTTTGTAACCAGTGTTGTATTATTTGCTGTTGCTGTTGCTGGGGTCGTTTCTGTATGCAAATATTGTACTCTAACCATTATTCGTGCACAGAAATGTACCCTAGCGTGGCAACATGAATTGGTCAAGAGACAGGGGAGTTATATGCCTATAAAACCCTTCCTGAACTAGGCTGGAATTATGGAGTTATATTTCGGCTGGACTTACAAGTTTATGCATAGACCAATCAAAATCAAGTAACGAAATCGACATCAGGTTAGAAAACTGCTGTGCAGATTTTAATCGATTGCAGGATTTGCAAAGCATGTGCGCCACCAACTCAGCATCAAAGATATTTCCAAATCTTTTCATGTTATTAATCAAGGTGCTCAGGTGATTTGATGCACTTTGTGAAGTAAGACCTGTTTTATTGTAACCGGGTTTTCAAGGCTTTATCCATTATTTTAAACAGATGACACCAAGACAGCTACGGGGTGTGAGGCTTATGTTTATTTATAATCACGATAAACACCCTGTAATAAGAAGCAACAGATAATATAGTATATGCATATGAAAACATAATATATATCATATAACAGTGTTCGAAATACCTGCCTGCCTGACTGTCCTAGACGGGTTGATTTCAACTCGGGCTGCCAGATTTTCAAATCCCCCTGCCCGACGGTCGGGTTATACATGTATTTCATATGTGAAAATATTCTAAATATTTCCCAATGATAGGCATTAATTCACTTGTAAAGTTGAATCATAAAATGTAACCAAAAAGAAACCCCGTTAGCTTTTAGACAACCTAAAATTTAGGCCCTATTTAGGAATAAGGATATTTACATGATGTATTCTAGGATATTAAATACAAATGTGACCTAAAAAGTGTTTGCTATTTCTTTTTTTGCATTACTTCATGTCCAATGAATTCGATTTAAAGTTTTAATTAAATTATCCTGAGAAACATATGATTATAGTGGGCAGGCAGGTTTTGGTCAGGGCTGGCAAGTATTCCAGCTAGCCAGTCCTGTGGTCTGGCTGAAAGTTTTGGGAGTTTCATACCCTGTCATATAATCATCAAAGCAATACAATCATTTCTGTTACATTACTTACAACTAAGTATTGTTAGATGATATGATAGAAATAGCTTACAGTACATATTAAGTAAAATGGTTACACATACCCTATGTGTGGCACAAGGGTGTGAAACGTGATACCCTTCAAATGTCACCGTTCATGATTTATCCTGTAGAGGAAAGAGCAGGAATAAATACTTAGAGTGACTAAATACAGTGAAATGAATAACAAAATGCATAGTTTGTGCACTTCCATAATTGTAGATATAACTTATCATGTATACATACAAGATAATATTAAAATACACCATTGCTTAGGTTAAAGTTCAGCCTCTAAAACACATTCATTCAAAACATCGACATTAATAGAAATATATGATTCAATGTAAATATAATTACTTCTTAGATGCTTATTTATAATGCCTAATCTTTGATTACTATTTAATCCTATTTAGAAGTAAAGATAAATTATTAACCAACCTTTAGTGGTGATCTACAAATGCTCCAAATGCAGTGCATAGTGAAGGTGGCAATATGGAGTTAGTCAGAGCAAGAAGGTAACGTTTGAATTTGACCAATCACAGGATAGCTTGGGGTGTGATTGATCACTAGAGGGCTGGACAAAGAATGTAGTATACCTTGGGATGTGATTGATCACTAGAGGGCTGGATAAAAACAAACCTCTGTTGAATATAGTTCAACAGAAACAAAACTTGAAATAGTTTTATTTACAAACAAAGCTATTTAAAAATACAAATATATACACCTGCTACATTATTATTATTAGTATTATTATTACATTTTGATTATCGATCAGATCATCTTGACTGGGCACCACCTTTTTGCTTGAAGCAAATGCAGGTGATATGAGAGGTGGAATCTGATTGGTCAATAGGAGGGACATAGAAGGGACATAAATTGTAATACCCACTGGTGGCGCTGAGATCAAGCCCAGAAATTCCAGCCTAGTTCGGCAAGGGTGGCAACTTTACTTCTACAGTCAGTTAACTCCCTTGCCTCAGGAACATGCAGGATTGTAGAGGATGAGAGATACAGAACAACTGCGGCATATTACACACACACAACTTACATTACTTGACAGCCGGTCTGTGCATTGTGTCGTCACGATATGGCTGAAATAATGCCGATGTGACGTTAAATATTAACTCACTCACTCACTCTGTGCATTGTGAAAACAGAGTGCTGTGTTATTTATTGCCAAGTCCTGGTATATTTGTGTAAACATATGGGTACCAGGGGTACATATCATATAAGTACCTGTGCTGTATTATCAGGGCTGGACACAACATCAGATTTCAAGGCTGACACAAGTTTCAATGTTGCATTCAGATTACTAAATGTTTTGTTGTTTTACTTGACATGCGAAAAAAAATCGATAACTCTTCCTAAAGGAGGTATTATTCTTTATTGGCATCTTTGCCTGGAGATTTCAGTGATGCCTTCAAATTACAAGGTACACTCAAATCACTGCACCTTGTAATCACCATGCAAGGGAGGTAACCTATTTTCAAAATGGCGACACAGCGTTTGAAATTGGCAATGGTCCTGTAGTCCTTGCCTAAATGCCCAATAATTAAGGTATCATAAGGACTAGTAGAAATTTACCATTTTTAAGGGTTTGTTATATGATATTATAAGGACTAGTGGGCTAAATATCTTAGTTTCTACTGCTGCGGCAGTATTATGAGCGCTAGAAAACTTTCAGACACATTTTCTCTGTTACATGAAATAAACTTTAAAAGTGCAAAAATGGAAAGTGTTCTACATTCATCTCTAATGTTATCTCTTAGCGTTATATATTTCAAACATGGATCGTACCTCAAGTTTGATATGGCAGCTGGTGACCTGATTCACTGGCGAGGTAATGATTTGTTTCATTAATCTGGATCCTTTGGTGTAGGGGTGTCACGATAAATCGAAATATCGATATATTGCTATTGGTAAGCACTTAAAGTCAATAAATCGATTGTTAAATCAGTTTCCCATCAATAGTATCGATTTCAGTTAGGAATATCGATAGTTTTGATTGTATTTATCATATCAATAAAATACATGCAATGCTGTTCAAATTTGTTTTTCATTTGATCATGAGTGGTAGTAATTTACACATGGTAATGTGGAAGTTTCTTTTTCTTAAACTATTAGGGTAAAGAAAAAACAAATCAGTCATATCTCAAACTTTACTTTTTATTTGTTGTTATGGTTATCACATTCAAAGGAAACTTCAGTTCCAAGGTTTAATTCAACTCTAAAATCCATCTAAAATGATACACTGAAAACTATCAATATTTATCGCAATAGTTTCTTTCATCATCAATAGTTATCCCAATAGTGATATCCAGACCAATAGTCACCCCTACTTTGATGTCATATCACAATGAATTATAAACTAACTTTGCTGTATATTGTAGATATACAGGTGTTACATGATAATTGTTGCAAACCATAATGATACAAGAGATCGAGTAGTGGTCCATGTAACAAACGCCCAGTAATTTGAGTGAGGCACTGAAATTTACATACACCTTGAAGTCAGGTGTTGCGTCTGGACCTGATTATGAATTGGCGCTTGAAAAATGAGGCTCACTCACTCGCTCGCATTACCAGCTAAGAGCCGACTTCACATTATTTTATCACACCCAGATATCAACCGACATTTATAATTATTATGCATGTTCCTTTATTTCTTTATTATTTGATTAAATAAGCCCTATATGTCAGTGTTCCCGATGGCTTTTGAAACTCCAAAGATTATCAGTCCACCCTAAGTTTTGTTAGTCCCAACTTTCAATAAATAAAAAACGTATGAAAATGTTACATACATCATGTTCAATGCAATGATGTCATCTCTGCAGTAACATTGTTAGATCTACAAGTCATTCACACAAAGTGCAGTCACAATTTTCTCTGTTATTTTTTAATATTACGAGACAAAGTCGCTACACATATATTTAACCTCGAAGCAAGGCAAAATGTTATTTCCTTCCAGTAAAAGTAGACAAGGGGAATCCCTGATGGTAACAGACAAGCTGACTTTGGTCGGAAAAATTTCACTATTGCTTATGTTTTGTTCAACAACAAAGATCTTTATAATGTACTATATTTGCCGGTCCAATGGGACTGGCAGTCACATGAATTACCGGTCCAAGCCTAATTGTTACGGTTAAAAACTGGTAATTACCGGTAAACAGGAACACTGTATGCTGTCCTATGAAGCATTCATGCTTCATTTGAATCACAGCCATTGAGAGTAAGTGTACGCACATGCCTTGAAAAGTATGTTTTGAAAAAAAAGAAAACCTAACATGCCTTGTCATTTTGAAACATTTGCATGAAAGTGTAATCATTAATTTATTGTTGCCTAACAACGCTATTTTCTTTTCAAGCGAATAGTAAGGAGAGTCATTCCAACGATAGAAATGGGCCAAAGAAAGCTTCAGTTCCTGCCCCAAAGTCTTTGTTGTCAAGGACACAGAGTGCTGAGGGTCGACTCAATACACGACCGTCTAAACCAAACAACGCCAATGGGGGAGGACCCAGTCAAATAAATGCCCGGGGAAAGTTCCAAAATTGGCTGCAAGTTCGACAGACCAGTTCTGATGTCGCCCCAGAAACTACAGACTCTGGTGTAAGGGACGAAGATGAGCAATCACATGACCTAGATGAGGCTTCAGCTTACATTCCAAGAGGAACATCTGCCCCAGTGTGTCAACAAAGAGATGAGTTTTCTGACTTTTCTGAGGGAGAATTTGAAGAGTTAAAATCAAGATTGCTGGCACCGAAAGATTTTGATGCTTTAGCAGACAGAATTGTTTCACGTGTTAAGAAGGATCTTGATTTAAATGGGACTGATCGTCAATATAAGACAGGTGGTTATCAAAGCAAGCGACGTGTGTCGTCAGAACTGCCATTAGAAAATGGAGATTCGTCCTCAAATATGTCCAGTCACCATTGTCCATGCTGTTCAGAAATAATGGTGGGTATTTTTTAATTAATTTTCTTGGATGGGTTCAAAAGATAATCCATTATTATCCCCATCCATACAATGTTTGCGGAGGATATAGTGTCTGTCCATCCTTCCTGTTTCATTTACTTAAGGGGGCACGGGTGGCCCAGTCGTCTAAGGCGCCGCGATTCGCTGTGCAGAGTTGCGTCCCTTGGGCACGCCAGAAACCTATGATTGTGGGTTCGAATCCCGGTTCGCCCCGATTATGTTTCTAGGTTTGTCAGCACCATACCCGTGTTCGTGGGTTTCACCGAAGTGGTAAACATCTGAGACCTGCATCACTTCGGGCTTTCCTCCCACATTAAGCTGACACGCCGCAATATAACTGGAATACTGTTAAAAGCGGCGTTAAACCTAACTCACTCACGCACTCACTCACTCAATACATTTTACACCAAAGACTAATTACTAGTGAAAATGAGTAGTGAAAACGTAAATACTTTCATCCCTTGTGCCATACTCGACACTGCCAACTGTAAATTATCAGTGTGCTAGGTATTTGGCCATCCTGTCTATGAAAAGGATGGCTTACGCACCACAGACAAAACCACATGCAAGTATTGTGATATGTATCAGGTCATGAGCAAAGTATCGTGATACGTATCAGATCGTACAGTTGGTGTATCGTCCCAGCCCTTCTTCTGACTGTTGAGTTTTGAGTGTGAAATGCTTCAAATGCTTCAAAAATGACAAATTGCCCTCTTGACTAAACTTCAAATGTTCAGATGTGATTTGGCAACTTGTACACTGACAGATGTCTGTACAAAGTAGACACAATTTATGGATAACAACTTCTTTAATTACTGTAAAAAAGCAACGTTTCAGTAAAGATCCTCATACCGTTGTCAAGTAAGACAGTCTTGACAACGGTATAAGGATCTGTACTGCAATAGCGCTTTTTTACAGTGATTAAAGAAGTTGTTATCCATAAATTGTGTCTACTTTGTCATCTGTCTAAGTAAGGCCTAGCAAACAATTTAAGATGTCTGTACGTACCCCAGCATCTCTTACAGAACACGCCTTCACTGACATGATACAACCGTGCAAGTGAAATCTCCCTAATTGTTCTGTACTTTTGTTTCTGCAAACATCGTCATGTGATTGTTTTGTTGTTTTGTCATTTTTAGGACATTTTCATGATTTCTTCAACACTTGAAAAGACATCGTTCTATGTCTTTACCAAATTAAAAAATCTCTTCAGGACATATTGATAGTCAGCCAATGTCCTAGAAAATGAACTGATCTGAAAACCTGCTACAGCTTTTAAATGTAGAAGTCCTTAGGCGTCACCCTGAGACTTGAAGTATGAAAAGATGGGCCTGTACAGTGTTGCCATGGTAACTAGTAGGGCTGGAACGAGATCATATTTACTCAGGCATACACTGAAGTTGACTGAAGCTTGTCTTCACTCAGATATATAAAAGTCCAAAGGAATGTGCCCTTAGTCAGAAAGAAATGCAACATTAGCAACTTGTACTAGTGCAACCATGGAATTTTATTGTTATTTTCATTCAAAAATATATCACGTGACTAACCACGGGTACAGGTAGTCCTGTGGGTACCCGGGTCCTACTCAGGACCCACCCGACCCGAGTACCCGTGTTACCCATCCAAGCCCTAGTGGCTGGATGCCCCTGCGAATCTGACACATCTAATGGCATGTGCAAAATTCTCTTGAACCAGCGTTCACAATGACATGCATCTTGACAAGACAATGTCCTTCTGTTCCAGATTGGTTCCCAGTTCACGCCTCTGTTGTTGATTCCATGCGGACACACAGTGTGCCGCGAGTGCTGTCAAGGGAGAGAACTCTGTCCAGAGTGTTACTGTAGCATTGGCTCAACAACCTGTAACATTATGCTACAGCAGATCATACAGGAATATCAGGGCAAGAAAACTGTGCAGAAGATTTCTCCATCACGGACATACAGGAAGGATGACAAGTACAGTCCGCAGAATTATCAGGAACACACGAGGGGTAAACAATCTCATTGAAATCAGATTCTTCACTCTGGCCAATTCTGAACAAACTTCCAGTGAGTTACGTTTGTTCATGCACTAGGAAGACCCTATCGATAGGGCTGGCTAAAAAGATTGATAATCGGAATTATTGTCGATGGGAAGAAATATAACGATTATCGATATAAAACTTGTCATAGATAATAACTCACATACATTATTGCAATGTGTGTAGCCCATTTCTGGTGTCCACCGCTGTGATATTGCTGGAATATTGCTAAAACCATACTCACTCACCCACTCACTTGTGCAACTAATGACAAGAGACCATAGACTACAATTATAATTGTGCAGCATAATTTAGTTAAAACGCCAGATGGTAGCCAAGGGAAATAAGAGTTGTTTATGACACTATAATGTATTGGATACCGCTAAAAAAGTTGTCTTGTTCTAATAAGTTGTGACAGCTGAATACCAATAACAAGCAATATTATTGTTTTCAGAAATATGTCTTTTCAAGTGAACGTTTTCTATTTGAGTGAGTGGGTGGCACGGGTGGCCCAGTCGTCTGGGCACGCCAGAAACCTATGATTGTGGGTTCGAATCTCGGTTCACCCCGATTATGTTTCTAGGTTTGTCAGCACCATACCCATGCTCGTGGGTTTCACCGAAGTGGTAAACGTCTGAGACCTGCATCGCTTCGAGATTTCCTCCCACATTAAGCTGACACGCCGTGATATAACTGGAATACTGTTAAAAGCGGCGTAAAACCCAACTCACTCACTGTTTGAGTGAGTGAGTGATTGAGGGAGTGAGTTGGGTATTACATTGCTTTTAGCAATGATTGATTTGCTGTGCAGAGTTGCGTCCCTAGGGTGCGCCATAAACCTATGGTTGAGGGTTCGAATTCCGGTTCGCCCCGATTATGTTTCTAGGTTTGTCTGCACCGTACCCATGCTTGTGGGTTTCACCGAAGTGGTAAACGTCTGAGACCTGCATCACTTCTGGCTTTCCTCCCACATTAAGCTGACACACCGTGATATAGCTGTAATACTGTTAAAAGCGGCATTAAACTCCACTCACTCACTCACTCACTCAGAGTATGTTGATGTCATCAATATGGAATGTTAATTTAGACAGTGTGTGCTGTTTACATGGTTTAGATAGGAAACAATCCATCCAAATACTTCAAGATGGTAGATTTAATTTATATGATTATCTATTATTTCTCCTGCGACTATACTTGAATATATCAATACACAAGGGTTGTATTACGATACATGTGTAGCTGATGGCCGTATTGCAACATACTTTTACACCAGTTGCACACCCATACTGACGTGTCAGCTTGATGTGGGTGAAAGCGTACCAACCAGCATTGGTATCGTGCTGACAACCAAGAAATGTGATCAGGGCGGACTGGGATTCAAACCCACAGTTGTAGGTGTCTGGCATGCCGACGGGGAGCTACACTACGTATTGCTGCTTCAATGACTGGGCTGACAGTGCTGCAATAGGAGTAGGTGTCTGGCATGCCGACGGGGGGCTACACTACGTATTGCTGCTTCAATGACTGGGCTAACAGTGCTGCAATAGGAGTAGGTGTCTGGCATGGCGACAGGGAGCTACACTACGTATTGCTGCTTCAATGACTGGGCTAACAGTGCTGCAATAGGAGTAGGTGTCTGGCATGCCGACGGGGAGCTACACTACGTATTGCTGCTTCAATGACTGAGCTAACAGTGCTGCAATAGGAGTAGGTGTCTGGCATGCCGACGGGGGGCTAAACTACGTATTGCTGCTTCAATGACTGGGCTAACAGTGCTGCAATAGGAGTAGGTGTCTGGCATGCCGACGGGGGGCTACACTACGTATTGCTGCTTCAATGACTGGGCTAACAGTGCTGCAATAGGAGTAGGTGTCTGGCATGGCGACAGGGAGCTACACTACGTATTGCTGCTTCAATGACTGGGCTAACAGTGCTGCAATAGGGGTTGGTGTTTGGCATGCCGACGGGGAGCTACACTACGTATTGCTGCTTCAATGACTGGGCTAACAGTGCTGCAATAGGGGCTCGGAGACTAAAATGTTGGGATGAAGATATTGGATTGCCCGGACCTATTTCTCCTTTGTAGGTACACCTTTCTCAGTGGATAACCATCATTACGCAGAGCAATTGCAGAATCTTCATACACGCCTGGACGTCCTGTCGTCGGAGAAGACGACCGCCCAGGTGGAGTGTGAGAGACTCGCCGATGCCATTCAGAGAGAGGCTGTGCAGGTACGGAACATCTCGAAGGAGGAGGACAACATCTGCAGCCAGATAGACACCCTGGAGGAGAAGCTGAACATACTGAGGCAGCACCGGGGGGAGTATGAGAGTAAATGTCAGGCGATGAAGGGTGAGCGCGAGGAGGCACAGAGACGTCTCACCCTGCTGAAGGAGACCATTGAGAGTCTGAACAATGAGCTGGAGAAGGTAGGTGTCTTTGTGATTCGGACATTTTGGACATTTTTCAGAAATGATGATGATGGATGATGATGATGATGATGATGATGATGATGATATCGATGATATCAATGATATCGGGTTCGATTCTGGTGTCCCTAGCCATCTTATTGCTGGAATATTGCAAACGAAAAGTGATGTAAAACCTCACTCACTCACTCACTCACTCACTCACTCACTCACTCACTCACTCACTCACTCACTCACTCACTCACTCACTCACTCACTCACTCACTCACTCACTCACTCACTCACTTTCCGTTTCTTCGTCTAGAAGGTATATTAATCAACCACTGACTTCATGTAATAAGCATCATATTATGTAAATATGATTTCTAAGAGTGCCCAAGAGGCGCCAGGAAGTAATTTAACCATGCCATTATCATTTTAACTGTTACATTAGCACACTTAAACAAGGAATTTTAAACCCCAGCATCACTGGACAAAATCCAAAACCGAATACAGAAAAAGTTGAATTTATATTTCCTTGCCTGACCACTCCATCTGCAATTGATAAAAAGTTTTTAGAAGGGCAAATTATAAAATTCTTGCAAAATATAACTATGGTAACTTATCACCTTTCAAAATATTAATTAATCAAATGTTCTTTATGTTGTAGTCTTGGCCCCTGCAAACCTTCCACACACCAAACACAGTCGTCTCAGAAGTAACTAAATGTAATCATTACTGCCAAAAATGATATGCATCGATCACTTCATCTGTTGATGCACACAAACAATAGTTTTATCACACTAGACCATCGTCCCAAACGTCTTTACGCCATATTCACACCAAACATATTAAGCTCTATAATTTATTTATATTTGTAGTTCATCCTACTCAGTGTAAATAGTGAGCATTGTTAGTGAGCAAAAGTTCATTGAGGCAAAATATTAAAAGTGTGGTCTTGTGTTTGTCTCCTGGGGGACAATTTGTAGGTTTCTTCAGGTTTAAGTGTACTGACACTCCCCTGGTGTGATGAGGACAGAGTCAATTACGTAATACCGTATTCGACGTAATAAGCGCCCTGCTCTAATAAGTGCCCATGGCGATATTTGCTAATATATTGGCTAGTGAACAATACCAATTAGCACCCCTTCCGATTGATCAATGTACACAACACTTATTTATTCGCGTATAATACACACTCCTGTGTAATATGCACCCTTAATTATCGGCATTTAAATTCTGGAAAAATGTATCTCTCGTATATAAACATTTCAGGCTGTCAGCATAAACCACGAAATTTATCTTTCAACACTGTCTTTTTCACCAAAATAATATTTCAATTAAGAGCCACCTATTTCTAATTTTGAGAGCGCCCTGGGCGCTTATTACGTCGAATACGGTAGGTAATTACTGACGGGAGAGAGCCTCTCTGGGGGCGTCCATGTGAAACAGGTTTACAGTGGGTGAACAGATGAATGAGCAGTGTTTTATACATGTACATTTATTTAGTATGTTTTTGAAGAAAGTGTTGTATTGCTTGTCTGAATTAATGTACATACTCTAAATGCGTGGCTTGAATATGCCAGTGGAAGTGTTTCCGGCTCATTCTAAGTCACTTGTGCAGAACCACGGACCTATATAACCGTATATACAAGTCCGTGGCAGAACTAACCATTTGTTTAAGCCCAAGGAAGCGTTTACTCATGACGATCAGTTGTCATGCTAGAATTCATTTCTTGTTGATATCCTTTGAAAACCCTAGACATAAGTTCTTTACAGAATGGAATTAAATGTTAACTAGTCTTTGTATCGTGAGTGATATGGCTTCGGCTAAGGTTGAGTAGGATGACAATTAATTAGAAGGAATAATGGTATAATAATAACACAATATGTCACTGTTCTCTAGGTTTTATAGTTACTGTATTTCCTCTAATAAGTGCTCTGCGCTCTTATTCTTTGAATCAACTTCCATACCCGGGGGTAATTTGGGACCTGTTGCTTAAGATTTTAACTACGGTGTGGCATAAGCTACAATAATATTTTAACTACAGTGTGGCATAAGCTACAATAATATTTTTAACTACGGTGTGGCATAAGCTACAATAATATTTCAACTATGGTGTGGCATAAGCTACAATAATATTTTAACTATGGTGTGGCATAAGCTACAATAATATTTTAACAACGGTGTGGCATAAGCTACAATAATATTTTAACTACGGTGTGGCATAAGCTACAATAATATTATAACTACGGTGTGGCATAAGCTACAATAATATTTTAACTACGGTGTGACATAAGCTACAATAATATTTCAACTATGGTGTGGCATAAGCTACAATAATATTTTAACAACGGTGTGGCATAAGCTACAATAATGTTTTAACAACGGTGTGGCATAAGCTACAATAATATTTTAAGTATGGTGTGGCATAAGCTACAATAATATTTCAAGTATGGTGTGGCATAAGCTACAATAATATTTCAACTATGGTGTTGCATAAGCTACAATAATATTTTAACTACAGTGTGGCATAAGCTACAATAATATTTCAACTATGGTGTTGCATAAGCTACAATAATATTTTAACAACGGTGTGGCATAAGCTACAATAATATTTCAACTATGGTGTGGCATAAGCTACAATAATATTTTATCAACGGTGTAGCATAAGCTACAATAATATTTTAACTACAGTGTGGCATAAGCTACAATAATATTTTAACAACGGTGTGGCATAAGCTACAATAATATTTTAACTATGGTGTTGCATAAGCTACAATAATATTTTAACAACGGTGTGGCATAAGCTACAATAATATTTTAACTACGGTGTGGCATAAGCGACAATAATATAATAACTACGGTGTGGCATAAGCTACAATAATATTTTAACTACGGTGTGGCATAAGCTACAATAATATTTCAACTATGGTGTGGCATAAGCTACAATAATATTTTAACCACGGTGTGGCATAAGCTACAATAATATTTTAACAACGGTGTGGCATAAGCTACAATAATATTTTAACAGCGGTGTGGCATAAGCTACAATAATATTTCAACTATGGTGTTGCATAAGCTACAATAATATTTTAACTATGGTGTTGCATAAGCTACAATAATATTTTAACTACGGTGTGGCATAAGCTACAATAATATTTTAACAAAGGTGTGTCATAAGCTACAATAATATTTCAACTATGGTGTTGCATAAGCTACAGTAATATTTTAACTATGGTGTGGCATAAGCTACAATAATATTTTAACAACGGTGTGGCATAAGCTACAATAATATTATAACTATGGTGTGGCATAAGCTACAATAATATTTTAACTACAGTGTGGCATAAGCTACAATAATATTTCAACTATGGTGTGGCATAAGCTACAATAACATTTTAACTACGGTGTTTGATAAGCTACAATAATATTTCAACTATGGTGTTGCATAAGCTACAATAACATTTTAACTACAGTGTGGCATAAGCTACAATAATATTTTAACTACGGTGTGGCATAAGCTACAATAATATTTTAACTACGGTGTGGCATAAGCTGCAATAATATTTTAACTACGGTGTGGCATAAGCTGCAATAATATTTTAACTACAGTGTGGCATAAGCTACAACAATATTTTAACTACGGTGTGGCATAAGCTACAATAATATTTTAACTACAGTGTGGCATAAGCTACAATAATATTTCAACTATGGTGTTGCATAAGCTACAATAACATTTTAACTACGGTGTTTGAGAAGCTACAATAATATTTCAACTATGGTGTTGCATAAGCTACAATAACATTTTAACTACAGTGTGGCATAAGCTACAATTATATTTTAACTACGGTGTGGCATAAGCTACAATAATATTTCAACTATGGTGTTGCATAAGCTACAATAACATTTTAACTACGGTGTTTGATAAGCTACAATAATATTTCAACTATGGTGTGGCATAAGCTACAATAACATTTTAACTACGGTGTTTGATAAGCTACAATAATATTTCAACTATGGTGTGGCATAAGCTACAATAATATTATAACTACGGTGTGACATAAGCTACAATAATATTTCAACTATGGTGCTGCATAAGCTACAATAACATTTTAACTACAGTGTGGCATAAGCTACAATAATATTTTAACTACGGTGTGGCATAAGCTACAATAATATTTTAACTACGGTGTGGCATAAGCTGCAATGATATTTTAAATACGGTGTGGCATAAGCTGCAATAATATTTTAACTACGGTGTGGCATAAGCTACAATAATATTTTAACTACAGTGTGGCATAAGCTACAACAATATTTTAACTACGGTGTGGCATAAGCTACAATAATATTTCAACTATGGTGTGGCATAAGCTACAATAACATTTTAACAACGGTGTGGCATAAGCTACAATAATATTATAACTATGGTGTGGCATAAGCTACAATAATATTTTAACTACAGTGTGGCATAAGCTACAATAATATTTCAACTATGGTGTGGCATAAGCTACAATAACATTTTAACTACGGTGTTTGATAAGCTACAATAATATTTCAACTATGGTGTTGCATAAGCTACAATAACATTTTAACTACAGTGTGGCATAAGCTACAATAATATTTTAACTACGGTGTGGCATAAGCTACAATAATATTTTAACTACGGTGTGGCATAAGCTACAATAATATTTTAACTACGGTGTGGCATAAGCTACAATAATATTTTAACTACGGTGTGGCATAAGCTGCAATAATATTTTAACTACGGTGTGGCATAAGCTGCAATAATATTTTAACTACAGTGTGGCATAAGCTACAACAATATTTTAACTACGGTGTGGCATAAGCTACAATAATATTTTAACTACAGTGTGGCATAAGCTACAATAATATTTCAACTATGGTGTTGCATAAGCTACAATAACATTTTAACTACGGTGTTTGAGAAGCTACAATAATATTTCAACTATGGTGTTGCATAAGCTACAATAACATTTTAACTACAGTGTGGCATAAG